CTGACATGTCAAGTTAGGGCATATACTAATCTGAATGAGAAAAGAATGAGATGGTTTACGCACAGAATCTAGCAGCACATTGGAAGTTTTGAAGTCACGGTATATGACGGGCTTCTCAGCACCATGCAGAAAGGCTAGCCCCTTTGCTGCTCCTATTGCTATCTTTAACCTTGTGCCCCATGGCAGGGACACTGAAAGCCCTGTGATCATCAATAAACGAAACAAGACCTAGTTAGTAGCTGTTTCCATCATCTTCACGAACTCTTCTTGCACACGTCCCCCTTTCTTCATTTTTACCAATTCAATAAAATTAATATCAGAGTCAGGCAGTCAGCTTAATTTTTCAAAAGCTTTTGTCCATAGAGAATATACCCATTTTGAATTACATAAATTGGAAGGTTATGTAAATCATGTCCTGAAGGAAGAAAAGATTGTGTAATATAGAATTGACCAACCTACTTTTGAACAAGTGATTTTCTAAGCTGCCTCGAGGCATAAACTCATAAACAAGAAGTCGTTCTTCTTCCTCGCAGCAATAGCCAATCAGTTTTACTAAATTTGAGTGCCTAAGTTGTCCCAAGAATATTACTTCTGCCTGCAATAAAGAAAGATTTATTCAATTAATCAGCAGATATTGGAAGTTACAAAATTAACAATTAAATTATTATTCAAGATGAGTTTGCAGAGTAGAAGAGATTGAACATAAGTAAACTAGACATAACAAAGATTGTGCATTGGAAAGAAATAAAACATATATATATCTACTACTTTTCATAAAATAACTGTTTTTCATCATATTCTGTCTTGTACTGCTTTTCATCATATTCCGAATCTTTAATACGAAATGCTACCATCATAGTACAAGTGAAGATAAAAAGAGGGAAAACTAGAAAACCTCCAAGGAGATGGTGAGAGGAATTTTTGGACATGATGAGATATAAGAAACATAGTGAAACAAGGCCGACATCCCAAGTGAAGAGTTGTACTATGCATCTCACATCACGAAAATCGAGAAAATTACATGAAAAATACCATGCATAAAAAGGGTCAAGATTTGCAAGGTTACAATCTGCCAACGATCATAGAAACAATGAAAATAACAGTGAAAACAGTAATGGAAAAAATAGTTATGGTTACCAGCCATTCACGGTGACCTTGCAGGCCTTCCATGTCAAGAAGCTTAACAGCAACGGCCTGAGCCTTCAAACCTTGCCTCAAATTATCATCTACATAACCCTTATGCACAGTTCCAAACCCACCTTCACCTAGCAAGAAACTGCTAGAAAAGTTCTGAGTTATAGCACGTAACTCACTCAGTTGAAAGTCAAACAAGTCAGGCCCAAAATTCTGTGCCAGATCCTCGTTAATACGAATTGATGAAGAACGGCTAAGATCAGAGAATGACAATCTTCTAAACGATGGCAATGGAGCAATGCTCGTGGAAACGTCTGATTTTGATGTCCTACATCTGCTATAGTTGCCAAAGAATGCTTGATCCTCGACTGAACAGCAATTAGCTGTGAAGGGTCTCCATGGCTTTGAGGATTCTCTCATTGTTAGTGCAAGACAGCCAGGATATAGCTGGTTGTGTGTGTATAGTTATGGAGTGGTGGGTGCATTTGCTTTGTAATATAAACATCCTGGGTCTTATTATCTAAAAGCTAGAGAGGACATTCTTTCTTCAACTGCTCTAACTACTCTACTAAATTGGGCATTTTCTTTGTCATCTACCATAATTCCTTTAGATATTGAAGGGAGGAGTTACATCGGAGGTTACCCTTGTGGCTAATCAGAGCACCAGACACGGATCCAGACTTTGATTCCTGGGGGGCCTAACTGTAACATTTCCATTTTGAAAGAGCCATTTTCACATTACTTTTCTGAAAACTCCGTGGAGCCTGCCCGCCACTGCTAAGACAATTGAAATTTCTTAAAATTATATATTTCAAATAATTATCATTAATCCATTAATTTAAATTATTAAATAAATTTTAAAATATAATTTTTATTATTTTTTAATATATTTTTTTAAATAAAAATTTTTTAAACTTTAAATTTTTTTTATCTTAAATTAAATTAATTTTTTAACATAGTATAGAACTCATTACTAATGAATTCAATTCAATTAAAAAACTTAAATTATTAAATAAAATTTTAAAATAAAATTTATATTATTTTTTAATATATTTTCTCAAATAATTTTTTTTAAATTTAAATTTTTTTTATTTTGAATTGAATTTATTTTTTAATATAACATCAAAGCCCATTAATAAATTCTAATATCATATTAAAAAATTAATTTAATAATACAATTTTAAAATATAATTTATCTTATTCTATATTAATATATTCATCAAAATTTAGAGCTTCGGTCAAACATTGCAACTGCATCTCGGTTACAAGTCCTCTGAATGATTGGCCAAATAAGAAATAGCACTCTTAAAATGGAGTCTTAGCTTCAATTCCTGCTCAGAGAAATTAATTGTTTTTGGATATTTAGCTATAAGTAAAAGGACTTGAAATAGCAGAGCTAAAACGACAGTGTTTTTGACAATAGCCTGTCCTCGTTTCTCAACCGCGCAATCTATAATTTTCTTAAAATATATTATTATCCGACGCAACATTAACTTGAGAGAAAATAATTTTATTTGGAAAATTTAAATTTTATTTTTTTTATTTAGTCTTAATTAAACGTGTGGATTGTATCTGTTAAACAGGCCCTCGTATGCGCGTCCACAAGTCCATGTTGTTATGATACGAGAATTAATTCAACGAGGACGAAATTCTGTCATCCTGTCTGTTTAAAATAAGAAGAGATTTAATCCTGCTTTAGATCAATTGATTGGTTCTAAATTTGTTTTTTAGAGGTTATTATTTTGAATGATATAAATTTCAGAGTCATTATAGATTTATATAATTATTAATTTTAAAATTTAATAGAATTAATTAAAAATACATGTAAGCTACAATTGAAACTAGATGGACAGAAGGATTATCATAAAGGGAAGGGCAGAGCAAATTGCTTTCCCACTGTATCATGTTTATGTTTGTTTTCCATAATCTTCAGCCTCCATCACGATCTTTCAGTGTCATTCTTATAATTAAGGCGATGACCAGTTGCGAGTTTTACTTTGTTCTTTCACATAATCCAGAATGGTCTTTCAGTGCTTGGATTCTGGCCTTCATCCTCCCTTCTTTTCTGGGCGATCTGGGAAAAAAATGGAAGCATATGTGCATGTGTTTTCTTGGCAGACAATCTAAGGTTTGTTTGGGGAAGATGGCGACCATCACAAATGAATAACGTCACCATAACAACAAAATCTGGATGATAATTTCGCTCAAACCTTATGGATATTGATCTTAATAGGTAAAGAATTTTTAGACTTTATCGGGTTTGGGTTTGGATAGAGTTCGAGTAAAACTCGAAGGCAAAATATTAAGTTTGAAGCTGGCTATTAATATTAGTTTATTTAACCCTAATCTCAACCTAAACTTGATCTAAAATAAATTAATAACTTAAAGTTTTAAAAAACAACATGTGTATCAAACTAATTATGGGCTAGATAGTTATAAATTATAGCATTTAGGTTTCAGGTCGGGTTATAAATACCCTCGGTCAAGTTGGGTATAAAAAATCTATACTTCTCGTATTTTAATCATTTTTTAATAGTTATTTTGGGATGGAATTTAAATATGAATAATGCAAAACATAATCTATAAGTATCCATTGTCATCTCTCCCTTTTTTTTTTTATTAAAATGAGGACATTAAAAAAAACTTTAAAAAAAAAAAAGAAGAAGAAAGAATTGGTGAAAATACTATAGATTGCAACATAGTTTTCTCTCTTTTATTTCTTGGTTCCCAAAAAATTTTCTATTCTAGTCACCAAAGGTTTTTTTTTTTTAACCTCTATATGTTGTGTTGCTCAAGATTTAAGCCTAATAATTCATTTTAATTACCTTGTTATGAGTTCTAACAAGTTTTGAAAAAAATTTGATATTAAATTTATACTTGATTTGATAAAATATAATTCAATTTCATTATTTAAAGTTAAAAAAACCATAAACATAATAAAATCATGTTCAAAATCTATGTAAAAACTTTAAGAAAAAAATGATTTGAATCTAATTTTCATGAATAATTTATTATTAGAATTATTGTTTTCATATCAAATACATAATAATTGAAAAATAATTATTAAAATTTAAATAAAAATTTATAATAATATTTACAAAACATGTCAAAGCTAAAATATGAGTGAATCTTGTAAATTTTTTTCAGAGTGCTAAAAATAAAGAAGAAAAAGATAAAAAAAAAAAAAAAAGGAACAAGCCTCTCTTGCATGTTTGTTTTTGTGGTCAAAAAATACTTCTGAAATTTTCTTTCTTTAAATTAAATTTTTTTCTAGATTTTTTTATATGTTTATATAAAAAAAAATCATAAAAAAATATTATTTGAATATATTTTCAAATATTTTAAAAACATAAACATCATTAATAATAATAATAATTAGAAGAAGCACAATCCCATGTATTAATTTAACTCGTCTGTTTTGGTTCCATGAAGGGTAAAAAAATACGTTTAGCTAGAAGCTCTTCTCTAGAAAAAGCATCAGTTCTTAATTCACGCAAAAAAATGGAACTCCTGAAAATTAAATTCTTTAGGCCTCCCCTCGATATTGACATTTTTAATATATCCCCTGATCGCCTTCCCTCCGATCATGGAAAACGTCAAACCATAAACTCCATGGCCATTAATTTTCATAATTTCATAGTAATATTTTTGTTGATTATTGCCATGGTAATGGCTTTAACGGGATATACATAACAATTATGGAATCAGTAATGCATCACTCCCATGATCTCCTTCACCTTTCATATTCCCCCATCATTACAGTAACTCCCGTTTGTATGACCTTTCCATTACCCTGTCTCCATTCCTACTTTCCTATAAATTATTTTGTCATGCCAATCCACTCTTCAAGCCCCTTGATTTCCCAAATGGCCACCACCAGTTTTGGTTTCGTCACCATTGTCATATGTTTCATTAGTCTATCGCCATTTCCACTCTTAGGTGCAGCAGCCAGCCCTGATCCAGGGTTCAGTTTAGATCTTATTCATCGTGATTCTCCTCTTTCCCCACTTTACAACCCAAATCATACCGATTTCGATCGCTTGCGCAACGCTTTTTCTCGTTCCATATCACGTGTCAATGTCTTCAAGACTAAGGCAGTTGATATAAATTCATTCCAAAATGACTTGGTACCAAATGGTGGTGAATACTTCATGAAAATGTCCATTGGAACACCATTAGTTGAGGTAATTGTAATAGCTGATACCGGTAGTGACCTAACATGGGTTCAGTGTCTGCCTTGCGATCCATGTTACAGGCAAAAATATCCTCTCTTCGATCCATCACGATCTTCATCATATCGTCACATGTTATGTGGGAGTCGGTTTTGCAATGCATTGGATGTTTCTGAGCAAGCTTGTGCCATGGATACAAATATCTGTGAGTATCATTACTCATATGGAGACAAGTCATACACGAATGGGAATCTTGCTACTGAGAAGTTTACCATTGGCTCCACTAGCAGCCGTCCAGTTCACCTATCACCAATTGTGTTTGGCTGCGGTACTGGAAATGGTGGCACGTTCGATGAGCTAGGTTCTGGCATAGTTGGCCTCGGAGGTGGCGCTCTTTCCCTAGTGTCACAACTGAGTTCGATAATTAAAGGCAAGTTCTCATACTGTTTGGTGCCATTATCTGAACAATCGAATGTTACAAGCAAGATCAAATTCGGCACTGATAGCGTCATTTCCGGCCTCCATGTGGTTTCCACTCCTTTGGTTTCTAAACATCCTGATACCTACTATTACGTAACACTAGAGGCCGTTAGTGTCGGAAACAAGAGATTGCCTTATACTAATGGTTTGTTAAATGGTAATGTTGAAGAGGGTAACGTTATCATCGATTCAGGCACCACCTTAACTTTTCTTGATTCTGAATTCTTCACCGAATTAGAAAGAGTGTTGGAGGAAACAGTGAAGGCAGAACGTGTTAGCGACCCTAGAGGGCTTTTCAGCGTTTGTTTCAGAAGTGCAGGAGATATTGATCTTCCTGTCATAGCAGTTCATTTCACTGATGCGGATGTGAAGTTGCAGCCACTGAATACATTTGTCGAAGCCGATGAGGATTTACTATGCTTCACTATGATATCATCCAATCAAATAGGAATATTTGGGAACCTGGCTCAAATGGATTTTCTAGTAGGCTACGACCTTGAGAAGAGGACAGTGTCCTTCAAACCCACTGATTGCACCAAGCACTAGTGGAAAGTGTTTTGCGGATCATGTTGACGTAGATTTTTTGAATAATGTCATGATCTGTTATTGAAAAATCTGGTGAAAGATGTCTTTAATGAAGTCATAAAGCCGACACACAGAAAAGTTAGCCAGAGCTAACATTTGAAATTGCCATCGTTTTAAAACTTCAGAAACTGAATCTCAAGAACATATAATTTCTTCCTTGAACTCATCTAGACTTTCGATTTCCCGGTCAACACAATTGTTTGGCTGGCTCGTAACAGGTAGACGGCATTCAATAACAGGTCCACTGCAATTGTTTATGCAATAACATGCTATAGCTGTCACAAGAAAAAATTGTGTGAAGCTAAACATAATATTAATAGTTACTGATATAATCGTGCACGCTCTTGTAAATTGCAATTCAATGCTGGATTGGTCCGCTAGGGACAACCAGGGCTTCAGGACAGAGAAACTAGCTACACTAGGAACCCGAGAAACCCAGGTTGCGAAAATCCTGCACCCACCACCACCCAAATACATGAACTAAGGCAAAACATTGGACACGATTAGTGACAAATATTATTTTCACTTGTAATACCTGTAAAGAATTGCACAGCGCCAGCTATCATGTGAGATATGTAAGTAGCGTTTTCAGGTTCTAGGACATCATGTCTAGCTGACTTGGTAGACATAAGAAAATATTTTAGCAGCAGCACTTGTCTTACTAAGCTCGAAACACCAGCTTTAATTGAAAGCTTTGGGTCCAAGAAATTCCTTTCGCACTCAGTTCTGTGTTTAAGATCAGATTCAATTGCACCAGATGTAATTTGTGTTGGAATTAATTTTAAATTCAAAATATTCTTTCAATTCTCCTATGTATTTAACTAGTATAAAAATATTAAATATTGTATTCAAGTCCAAGTCCCATATCATTTCCTCTCTTAGAAGAGTAATATATATTATATGAAAGATACTTATTTCCACCATGCTTCCCTTTCCATCTTCTCCCTTGGTTATTTCTAACATGATATCAAAGCTAGTTTCATTTAGTGGGATATTTGAGAAATTAGAGCATGTGTGTAGAAGAGAGAGTGAACGGAGAAGTGGAATTAAAAGGAAAAAAAAAGTGCAAGCTAATAGAGTCCAACCAGAGAATTGTCATCTTGCGTTGAAAGAATGATAGAAAAAGCCAAAAAAAGACTTGGTGCAAGTTGACAATTTGCATATGGGGTGAACCAATAATAAGCACACATGATGAACAAAAAGGATAGGTTTTCTTTGAAAAAAGAAGAGAGGGATATGGCCATAGAGCCATGATAAATGCGGCGGCAACCACTAAACAAGAAAAATAACTTGCATGAGTTATATTTAAGCAAATATACAAGTTCAGCGGCAACAAATTCTTCTTTCATGAGCTCTACAACAGCAACTCAATAATCTGTTGTTTATCTTTTCTTAGTCAGCACCAAAGTTGCTTAATGGAGAGAGTTCTAATGAAAAACATAAACAAATCCAAGGCTGGTAAGGCTAGGGAGAAGACCTTGTCCGATAAATTAGAGGCTGAGGAGCAGGGAATGACTACGAGAGAAAGTGAAAGTGTGAATGGTTGGGACCAGAGCAAGGATTCTTCTACTACAGGACCGCATTTTAAAGATGAGGGATTATGGATGGGAACCGAGTGCGTGAACCCCAAGCTCACATCATAAAAAATTTCCCACATGCTGGCAATCTGTCACCCTGCCATACCTGATGTAGTTGAAGAAACAGGGAAGATTTCATACGAAGTGAAGCAACATTTGTGATTGCTGCAAGAGAAATTGGTTTTGAATTCTACAAAAAAACTCAAACAAGCGTGACTCAATCCAAAGACCAGCAGGAAAGTTGAAAGGGTGCCTAGAGCTCTGAATGTTTTGGAGTTTAACAGTGCGAGAAAGTGGGATGCCAGGATGTCTGTGATAGCAAGAAATGAGAAGGGTGCAACAACCATGGTAAGATGATCGATCCTCCACCATTTTGTCCGACAAAACAAAACCTTTTCTATGAAAGAAAGAATTCAGGGATTGATTAGAAACATATGACAAACTAATGAGATCACAATAAACTTATGGGTGAGCACTTGCATAACCCGAAGACTGACCCGATCAGCACAGCGGCCAGCACGTGCATCTGGACTCCAGTCAAAACTCCCATTCTTATCCGACAGCCAGTTTCCACTTTCCATTTTTTCTCCCTCTGCTCTTCTTTCCTTTCCCACTGCCCTTTGACCTTTTCTGTCCTGCAAAGAAAGCTAACCACAAACAAGTAAATAAGAAATTCTCTTTCCAAAAATCTAAGTTACTTCCTTCCTAAATCGCCTCCTCCATTTTTTATGTATTTTAGCAGCCTGAGCCGACCTAAACTTTCTCCCCCACAAACTTTGATCTTGTAACTGTTTTAACTGCACACATAGTAACTGTAGAGTGAGTAATTAATAGAGTAGTAAGAGGTTTTCATTTACATGGAAGCCTTCAAAAAGCAAGCTACCAGGCTTAGAGGGCAAGTTGCAAAGCAACAGCAAGTAATTCAACTTCTCTCTTATCAACTGTTTTTTTTTTCTTCTTTTTTTGTTTTTTTTACACTTATTATTCGGAATTTTTGTTTTTTATTTATTTATTTTGTTTGGAAGGAAATATTGAAGCATTTGGGACATCTTAGCAATGAAGGAGTTCTCGTTGATGAAGCTGAATTACAATGCTATCAACATCTTCAAAATCTCTACAGTTCCACCAGAACTGCCAAGGTACAGTTACTGGCTACGATCTTCTTCTTCTTTTCCTTTTTTATGAAGCTTCATTTCATTTCATTTTTTATAGAGGCGAATTTTCTTTTATGTTAAATTAACAGCATTTTCAAAAGAATATTGTTCGCGGTGTTGAAGGTTTTGTATCTGTTAGTTCAAAGCAAATGGAAATGTGTGAGTGTGGATTTGCTTTTTGACTACTTTGTTTGTTATAGTTTGTTTTCTTTACGAGGCTGATATGTGAAATTTTCGGCTTTGGGGTTTGTTTTAGTGAGGAGGTTGGCTGATGGGTGTTGTAAATACGGAGCTGAGAATCAGAACGAGAACAATTATGTTGCGAGGGCTGTTCTTCAGTTCGGTGCCTCGCATAATTTGATGGAAAATGAGAAGGAAACTTTGGTTGGGGTTCTTAATGACCAGGTAATTTTATTTATAGATAGTAACAATTCCAAAGCAAACTTACTGAATGGTGGTGATGAGTGAAGGAATGCATAAATAACATAGAGGGGCGTGCATGCGTCCATGCTTATGTAAATGCATTCTGTTAGGAGATCATTGTTTCTTTTGAGTTTTTCTGCCAAGTTCAAATGCTAGTAGTTGTTGTAGTTCCAGATAAAATTAGTAATTCATTGGATAAGTGGCCATCTGCTTGTTACTATGATCATGTTAAATGAAAGCATGAGAAAGATGTTGTTGCATACACAAATTGATATACAAATGATGTGTTCATGAACAATGAACTAATAGAAGTGACATTAATGTTGTATTGTTATTATTATTTTTTAAGCCCTAGCATGAGTAGTGCCAAAAATGAACGATGAATTTCTTGGGATTTTTAGCAGGAGCTGTCATTTCAAAGAACTTGGGTTTTGCCATATATCTCTTTTTATGTTCCTAATCGAGTTGCGGGTTTTCAATATTTAGGTTTCTAAGCCACTTCGGGCTTTAATAACAGGAGCTCCTTTGGAGGATGCTCGCCGCTTGACTCACCATCATGACAAACTCCGTCAAGCGGTTGAAATGCAGGTAAAGTTTCGTGTCTCATGGGTGTAATGGTTTTGGGAATTGTGGTAGAGTCATGGTGGTATATTCTTGTCAGGCAGCTGAAGTATTGAGGTGTCGGTCAAAAACCAGGGATTCTGAAATATCTGCTGAGAGTTGCGCGAAGCTTCGAGCGGCAGAGGCAAGGTTGGCCGAGCTTAAATCTACAGTGATGTCACTTGGGAAAGAAGCAACTGCTGCCATGTCTTCAGTTGAAAATCAACAGCAACAGATTACCGTTCAGCGGCTGTTTAGTATGGTATTGCATGCTATTCTTCTTTCTCCCTTATGTGCGAATGTGTGTGTGTGTGCATGACTTTATCTGCTTATGCTGATCTTTCTGCTTCTCAGATCATGATTTATTGTCGTTGACAACTTTGTCCATCTAAACATGATCTGTTGTTGCCTAATCTACTCTTTACCTATTTGGGAAAAGTTTTTCTTATGGTTCATCTTCCTTGTCAGGGAATTCAATTTGGCAGTTGCTTCTGCATATCTGTCTTTATGGCTAGCATTGTATCCTTCCATTTACCGTTCCAGAATTTTTCTTGTCCTGATAGCGACCTCCTCTCGTTTGTCTTATAAATATCTTGCTTATTTTCACGAATGTAAAGGTTTACCGTATTCAAGATTTGTGCTGCTTGTTCAAATTTGGTTTAGGTAAGGGTTATTTGTGTTTTCTGTTTATTGATCTGAAACAAAATCATTTGTCAGATAGATGCCGAGAGATGTTATCATCAACATGTTCTTACTATTTTGGATAAGCTACATGCTGAGGTTTGTTCTCTGGAACTCTAGACCTGGCATGTTTATCATTTATTGTCTTTTGAAAATCATATTTCTCTTTATCACTCCCGGCTAGCTTTCTTCACTTATCAGGTGCTCAAACATTGCCTTGCTATAATCCTAATTTTATGTCTGAGATAGATTATGGCTGCTGCAATTTGAAAATGTTTATTATTGATTTAGATGATTCTCGAGGAGCAATTAAACGAGTCTTCACCGCAATCGGCAACGACACAGAGAGAGATGGTTGTCCCATCTGTACATGAGAATAATACTTCAAATGGATCTAAGAATCACATGGACAATAATAATCAAGAGGACTGGCTTTTCATTGCAAAAGTAAGACGTTTCATCACTTCGAATATTCCATCTCTTCTTTCAAACCTGGCCACACAGCGCAGAAAAATGATAAATATTGTAGAACACTCTTTGATGTTCTTTTCCCTCATCTTTTCTCTGCTTGTACAGCTCATAACTCGAAAATGGGAATGTGCTTGCACATCTCATGATGTTCGATTCCTGTTTTTCTCATAAAACTATTGCAATTACTTCTTCATCCCCTGTAATTGCCATCTGCAAGATTACTTTACCATTTCATTTGCTAACGTGGATGCTGCACCCTTCTGTGCCTCGTACTTGAAATAAAACTATTAGTTTATCTCTCTCTCTCTCTCTAAAAGGTGAGTTACCCTTGAAAGTATTTTGTCATCTCACTGATTCATTGGTCTATAACCGTAACCACACTAATTACATAAGGAGCCGCATGTAACTATGTGCTGTCATGGAATTTTCTGTCAGTGCGAACCCGAAGAGATGTTCTTTTTTTTAAGATTCACTGTGTTCTTGTCCTTGGTGGTCTTAATTTCTTTTTATTCTTCAATTTTCAGGTCATACACCCATTTGATGCTCAAGCTGAAGGGGAGTTGAGTCTATCTGTTGATGATTTTGTTGTGGTCCGGCAGGTACTTTCTCCACTGATCATGCCTTTGATGACCTATATATAGACTGTTATATGTCAAGCTATCATTTAAGCCAAAACTTTAGTAAATGAAAGCATAAAATAGTTGCAAAAGAAAAGTCTCTCTCTACAAAAGAAAAAAAGTCTGCAAAATAAAGTACTGCCTAAAATGTTTTTACTCGTGCACTATTCTGGCCTTGGGGAAATTTCAGATTCCCGTCCATGCCTCGATATAATTTGTCCTCTCTAACATCCCCTTTCTTTACTTTTTGTTGATAAAATATCAAGGTGACTCCAACAGGTTGGTCAGAAGGAGAATGCAAAGGCAAGGCTGGATGGTTTCCCTCTGCCTACATAGAAAAGCATGAAAACTCACCTGCAAGCAAGATAATGGAAGAAAGCGTAACTTCTTGATCGAAATCGTTCATGTACAGAAGATGCATATGTCCTGTTTATATTATAGTCCAAATCCATGCAGGAGCGGGCTACCTCGGTCAGCGAGTTATTTAAAGGCATTCTGGCATGGTTTTATTTATTTTTGTGTTCACGGAAATAAGGCCAGTGAGCACCTTGTACTGAATGTGTACTTGTTCATCTGTAGTAAATTTTGTTGGATAATAAAACGTACCCGCTTGGGTTAAGCTATCTTCTAAATTCAAGCAAGTAATCGCAGGTTCTTCACCTCAAAAATACCTAGACTGTTAGAACTTGCAGTAGCTACACGGTGAAGAACTCTTTCCTTGTTTTCTTTGTTAAGAAAAAAATTTGATGAAGGGACTAATTAAGTCATAAATGATTATTTTTTTCCCGATAATGATGATTAATTGCAGATATAGAGATATTACGGTCTTTTAAAAAACATCATAAATAATAATGTGACAGTCTAATTAATTTTTTTTTAGATGAGTGGAGGTAGGCATTGCAATAATAGAGTTATTGATTGTGGCGAGTCTCATCTTACCTCATCGTATTTGAGGTGTACCTCACCTCCCCAACGGTCACTCTTCCACTCACTCTCTTGCACGCATGTCGTTCCTCTGCACTACGAATCTCTCTCCACACCCCCATCCTCAATTTCTATATCCTAACCCTAACCCTAAATCCCCAAAATTTCTCCTCCAGTTCCCCGCAAAGCCCCCAATCCTCAGATTCTCCGGCAACCGGACCATCTCATTCAGTTCCCCGGCGAGACCAACAACATCCCGCCAACATCCTTTCACATGGCTTCAAATCGCAGCCACCTCCGCCGTTCTCTTCTTCGGCCTCAATGTTCAGGGCTGCCTTGCAGCTTCCTCTCCGTCACTCCCTGCTAAAACCGTCGTAGCAGCACAGGAGGAAAGTACAGTAGATCAAGGTGGTAGATTTTTAGTTTTTACAGTAACTAAGTTTTCAGGAATTGTTTTGTTTCTTTTCTTAATAAATCAATTGCTGCTCTTTTTGACGATGATGATGAATACACAGACGATGGTGGTGGTGCAGAGAGAAATGTTGATAATGTGCAAATGAATGAAGATAAGGAATTGAATGCTGCTGAATTTGAGAATTGGAAGTTGAAAACTTTCGCGTTGTCTGTTCCTCTTAGAATTGTTGCTTTGCGTGGCTCTGTACCTCCTTCATGGATCAAGGTTCCCAAATTTATATAGCAATTGAATTTCTGTTGCTGTTTACACTTCTGGGTAGTTTTATAACTTAATATGCATCGAGAAATTTCGACTTTATTGCATTAATATGCAAGTTTTAAGAATGATTTTAGTGCATGCTTTTTCCCGATAAAGGCTAGAAGAAGTAAAAGGGTTTTTGTTTTGCAGAAAACATGTAGTGGTTGCTATTTATAGTACCTTTTGAACTTATGTGGACTTATGATTGGGAATCTTGTAGGATTTTATTCAGTCCCAAGGAAGAAGATTGAGGTTTCGTGTGAAGTACCTTGGAAGCCTGGAAAACATTTTTTCTGACATATCTGCGTCCTTTAACAAATGTAATACCGGTCCCATGTCAACTGTGGCTTCTGATATTGTTAGTATTGGTGATTCTTGGCTCAGTTTTGCAATTAAAAATGCTATAATTGAGCCTGTGAGAGGGGTAGAAGAGCAAGATTGGTTTAAAGGCTTAAGTGACAAATGGAAGGTAAGAATGTGACCAGTCTGTGTTCTTACTATTAGAATTTGTTTTTCTTGTTTGAAGAGATTTTTTATAGTTCATAAATCCTTCAGGCATCATTATAGTTGAGTTACACTAATGATAGTGGAGTTACGCTTATTCCTTTTTATTGATATAACTCTCTAACTGGCTTACAGCAATGGGTGGCTGTATTAAAACAAAAGAAATCCAATTCAGTTAAGTCATCCCTGGGAAAAAAGCAGAACGAGAGGTTAAAAAAGAAGAAGCTAATTTAATGAAAGTTGTTCACTGGATGGAATGGCCTGCACTAGTTATATTTTACTTTAGTTTTTTTTTTTTTCCAATATTCAATGCCACTGCACTTTATCTACGTCTAGAAATGCTATTACCCTAAGTTGCAATGTTGGTGTAGCTTGCACTTGAAATTTTAAGATAGCATAATTATTTTTAATATGCTAGATATTCCACTAATCTTGTTTCAGGTATACCTGCGCAGGAACCATGAGGGAGAAATAGATCCCGAAGGTGAAATATGGGCTGCTCCATATCGATGGGGCAGCATGGTAATCGCCTACAAGAAAAGTAAATTTCAAAAGCATAAATTGGCTCCTATAGAGGTATTCTGTTTGACATTTTTCCTTCTACATGGGGCAAGGCCTAAGCATCAAAATGTGGCATGAGCATGTTAAACATGAAGAGTGGTTTTGGGGCTAGATTTTCCTTAGGTGCCCTTAGATTCCCTTAAATTATTCTTATTTTCATTCCCTTTTTCTCTATTGTAAATGAAGATAATGTTGTAAATTTTACAAATTTCCATGTATGAAAGTAATAATGGGCAGGGATCCCAGGACATTCCAATTTGAGAGGTGGATGACATTTTGGATGGGGAAACTTGTCATTATGTCATCTCCTGGCCGTTGCTCTATTTTAAAATTTATGCTTCTATAGTTTTATGTAGCTAGTTAATTGAGAGTCTGACCATGTATAGCACATTCTATTAATATAGCCATTATTGCAGGATTGGGCAGATCTGTGGCGGCCTGAGCTTGCAGGGAGGATTTCAATGGTTGATTCTCCTAGAGAAGTTGTTGGTTCAGTTTTAAAGTATATGGGGGCATCGTACAATACAAATAATATTGATTTGCAAGTTCCTGGTGGGAAGAATGCTGTCCAGCAGAATCTGGCATTGCTTGGGAAACAGGTAGCTAATAGTTGATTACTGCATCTCATGCTTCCCTCGTTTAAATAGAAATGGAATTTGCAGGGGATTCTTAACTAATAGGACAACTCAAAGAGTTTTGTATGTATGATTCTATGGAAACTCCTGTTGAACAAGGGAAAAGTAGCTCTTAGATTCTTCAATGTGGTTGAACTATGTCCTAGTTTTGTTGTGGCTGCTTCCGTTAAGGAAAATGTTCATTTTTATTTTGATCTCTGATGTCTCTGTGTGGATGCAGTAAAGTGTGATTTTCTGAATAGGTTAACCAGAATTGTAGCATGCGAGGTAGTGGACCTTGGTAATTTGGATTTGTAGGGTATGATCAGCAGTTCTCTCTTTTATTCTTTTGTTTTTTCCATTAATTTAGTAACCCAACCTTGTAACAACATCTGACTGCAAGAATTAGATAAAAGCTGCATAATGAGCTATTTATACAGATAATCAAATAGGTTTAAAATGAATAAATAATTAAAATATGAACTAAGTTGTCAAAATGAGGGGTTGACTTGGCTTAATGTACCTTATAGTTAAGGTTTTTCTGTAGGGACCTGAATTTTTTATATAAGAAATGTTGCTGCCTGAAAAGTAATACTTCTAATTTTCACATTTATTGGTTCTATATAGGTTCGACTATTCGACAGTATGTACTATCTGAAAACATTTAGCATGGGAGATGCATGGGTTGCTGTTGGGTGGAGTAGTGATGTTCTTCCCATTGCGAAACGCATGTCTAATGTTGCAGTTGTAGTCCCCAAGTCTGGAACTAGCTTATGGGCTGATCTATGGGTATTTTCCGATTCATCCCATTGTGTATTAGATATTCACTTTTCAATGTTTCTTGGATTTAAATTGGAATGTCATTTTCAAATTTAACTATGGCTATATAATTTATGATCCTGTCATGGCCTGCTGATGCAATTGATGGTTAAGATAGGCCATGGTGATTGACCCTTTACCAACTCTGAACAATGGCATTTGTTGTACATGCTTTATTCAGAAGTTTTTATTCATTTTCCAGGCAATCCCAGCTGCCACTAAACTTGAAACAAACCAGATTGGGGGGCGAATCAGAGGACCATCTCCTCTAATCCATCAATGGATAGAGTTCTGCTTACAGGCTGCTAGAGCACTGCCTTTTAAGCAGGAGGTAATCCCGGGTGCAACTCCCTCTGCCATCGAAAACTCTGTCATTGAAGTCCCAAAAGAGCTCACCAAGGGGAAGCCAAAACTGGACACGAATCTTATTGCTGGAGTACCCCCACCTGAAATCTTGACTAAGTGTGAGTTCTTAGAGCCATTGCCTGATGCAACTTTGTCAGACTATAAGTTGCTTATCCGTACTATGCAGATTCCTGATCCTGGTGTAATCCACAGAATACAGCATTATATCTTGTCAACAATTCATACTTTTAGATTAAAGCAGCATCCAAAGGTAGCATAAACCATGTACATCTCTTTGAAGACACTGTACATTTATTTGATAGAACACAAACAGCTTTAAACTGCTAATACGTGGTTCGAAACCACAGATCATATAATTAACCCTATTTAATAATTAAATTCTTGTACAATTTGTTTAGAAGATTATCAAACAGTTGCAGATATTCGAGCAGTCTGTACCAATGGCATTGGTTTTTCCACTTGGTTTTCTATAATCAACGAAATTTTGCATTTCTGCTTTTTCTTCTGCAGGGATGGACTGAATTAGAATTAATGGTTAGGACAAGACCTAAAATTTCAATAGGATTTGTCTGAAGCTGAACTGATAAAGGGGGAAAAAATGATTTGCATCTTTTGCTTGAATTCATTCTATAACATTGCTGATTGGAGCTGCAGGTTGCTGGTCGGCACAGCAACCACTGGCAAGACTGGTAGGGTTTTTCCACTGTAAGAAGGTAATTTCTTGCAGTTGCATAAAAAAAATACTTAACCTTCTGTATGTAACAAAAATTGAAGTCACGATCACCGTAGCAGTGTCACTGCCATCCTCCCTTCATGTTCCATAGAACTGGAACTGAAAAGCACTTGGGGAAGCAGCTGGAAAATCGGTGCTGCAGTGCTTGGTTTACACTCACAAGAGAATAGAAGCATTCACTGCCGATTATCCAATAAATAACTGCATCGCACCGTGCAAAACCAAAATTCCATCGGCAAGATAAATTAGCTCAGTATTTGTCTAGTTATCTCCAGAAAAAAAAAAAAAAAATCTCGTTACAAAGTTTCGCAAGAGAATGATATTACAAACATGCTTTGTAAAATTCATCATTGTATTGTATTTATGTTAAGGTGGCAGGAAATAAAAAGGAAACTACAACTGTGCTGTTGTAGATTCACCCCGTGGTTATAAATAAAGTCCAACAAAAAGAAACAAAATATAGACCCGCATCGTTTTTATTTCCGAGTAGCGAATACGATTTTTTCATAGTCAGCATTTCTGCCTCACCATTGTCTCTTTCTTCAGGTTCATGCTCATGACTGTTATTAATGCATCCGCCAGGCAAGCCTCTCTAATTTTAGCCGCGCATGCAGGCAGTAATAATGGCACCACTCAATGCCATATTGCCGATTGAAGAATTGAAGGAAAAAGTAGCAGTAAGATTGAATGCATTCCAAGTTAAAAGACAAAAAAAAAAGACTGACGACTTGAACGGTGGACATTGCGAAATGCTGAATTCACTCAAGGAACTGATTATTGCAATTAAATATATTATACAAAAATGGAGAACACAAGAATCTTTTTGCGAAGCTATATGTTCTGAATTTATACAAATTTCATATACAATTAAATGCAAGAAGGGGACTGCAACAAGAGAAGGAAAAGGAGTGCAAGAAGGGGACTACAACAAGAGAAGGAAAAGGAGAGAGCCCAAAAATAGAACTTCAGATGAATAACTGGCCCGTACCACAAGTGGAAACTCCATTCTCGTTGAGACGCAAGTGTTTGGCACACCCACGCAAAATGACACGAAAATTCCAGTCCATGAGTGCAACCGAGAGAACCAGATGAAATCTTGTATCCTCTAATTGTGATAAATCTGCAGAAAGAATGGACAAATAAAATGAAGACAAAAAACTGCTGCAGATTCCAAGCCACCCTTTCCTGCTTGTGCATTGCTTCTTTAATTTTCCAGAAGCTGCACTCGTAGATGCGGACTCAAAACATGTCTTCACTGTCACAGCATGGGTTTTCAATCAGAATTGGTATCGTAAAAGTCACTTGGGCATGGGGTCATAACCTCAGATTCAAGCACTTGAACCACCCTGTGCATGGTGGGTCTATCCTCTGGGCTCGAAGAAACACATTGGATGGCAACCGAAAGCAGGGCATCAAGGCTTTCTACCTGCACCCCCTCACAGTTTGGATCAACAATTTCTCGTGGTCTATTCTCTGTGATCAAGAAATTTAGCTGCAAAACAAAAAAGTAGTCAGAAGACCAACTTGTATACTCTCATTAGCTATGACAGAACCACATCTCTTCCTTTCAAAAATTAAACAGAGGAGCTGCGCCATGGAGCCACCATCAGAAGACATGGATATAAACTACAGACCAGTCCATCCTAGAAAGAGATCACATAGGAGGCAGTTAACATTTTCTATTCTCATATAATTATTCATTGCGAAAGCCGCTCTTAATTTATATCATAAGATAGAGAAAAAGAAAATCTATTACTGTCAAGAGGCAGAGAAAAAGAAACTAGCCTAACTGAAACCAAAATTTCATCAAGAAATAAACATACCCAACCAACAATGTTCAGGCCCTTCTCAATGAATGACGCATCCGTTGGCCGCTTTCCGCTCAGTACTTCAAGCACCAGGACCCCAAAACTATAAACATCAGTCTTTTCAGTTGCCCTGCCACTTTGCATGTATTCTGCCAATGGTGTCAAACAGGCTCATGATACTAGATAATGGAATGATACTGTGAAAATAATCCAAGATAGAACACGTACAGAGATCAAGCAGCAAAAGAACCATCAGATCTCATTAGATCATGACCTAAAGAGATTAACAGCTAGATTGGATGCTAAACATCTTACATGAAAGATGTTCTCAACTACATTACAAGTAACAAGCGCTGTCAAAGATATATCAAACAGGTATCCTAGTTATTGGACTACGTGTAAATACTCTTTTTTTATTTATGATTTCCCTCAGAGCAAATAACATATCCTCTGACAATAGAGCAGGAAAGAAAGAGGTAAAGCCATTACAAAACTCAATTTAAAAGTTAAATGGAAAAACTTCTGCCTGCAAGTGTGATTGTGAGTGAAACGTATTTCAAAAATGTTCATTCCAACCAGTTTGGTCAAAGCAGTACCACACATGCACATTGCTTACCGGGAGCTAGATAACCAAATGTTCCAGCAACAATTGTTGTAATATGTGATTCTCCATCCCCTAATAATTTGGCAAGTCCAAAATCAGTAACCCGAGCCTCCAAGTTGCCATCAAGCAAAATGTTGCTCGACTTTATGTCACGATGGATGATCCTTGGGGAACAATCATGATGCAAGTAAGCCAGTCCTTTTGCTGCCCCCATAATAACAGTCAGGCGTGCATCCCAATCCAGTTGCTCAGATCTTTCTGTAAAATCCATAAAAAAACATATTATGGTTCCTTGTTTAATCCTTAAACATGAAACTTAATAGATAGAATGCTAGGCCTTAAATGAAACACTAGAAAAGAAAAGAAAAAAGAAGTCCAAAAAGAAAATTGCAAATTTATAACAAAGGTTATAAAAATCAAAACTTCATTATAGATGTCTTTGGATCTAACACTTGAGGCTTCTCTTTCACTGCTTATGTGAATGAATAGGATTTTCATTTTCCAAATAGAAATCGTTGTCCAAAAATCATCAACCTAGAAAAAAGAAACAGAAAGTAGATGGTACTGCACTGTCTTCTCAAGAAGTGTTCACAGTAAAAAGTTTGGGGCCTTTGTAACAAATAAACTAGAAGAAAAGGAAAACATAAATCTTACCATGGAGTGCTTCATCAAGGCTGCCACCAGATAGGAAATCATAAATCAACAATTTTGATGTAGGGGAATTGCAATAACCACGTAAATTAACCAGGTAGCGATGTTTTATGCTTCCAAGAATTTCAAGCTCCCTCTCAAAGAATCGATCAAAACCATCATCCATCTTTACAATTCTCTTCAAGGCAAATATACTGCCATCATCCATTTCAAGCTTGTACACAGTTCCAAAACCACCAGAGCCTATGACATGTTCCTCAGTCAAAGTCTCTAATTTTTTTATGATGTCTTTTGATGAGTATGGCAAGTCCCCATGAAACATTACAATTGATGCACCTGGATCATCAAGAAATATAACATTAGGCGCTAGAGTTTAAGAAGTTACAAGACAGTACTCCAATTACAAAAATAATACGGACAGATAATTCAAGTAATAGTTAAGAACATTACCTCCACTAACATCCATTGCAATACTATTACTCTCATTTTTACCGAATTTCTTATATAGAAAGCAACCCCAAAAACACATAAGTGCCACTAGAAGTAGTGCACCAATGGTTGCTGAAGTGCTGATAAGTAGTCTGCCAGAGTATTTTTTCTTTCCTCCTTGATTTTGGCCTGCAAGTGAAGAAATAATGATTATTAAGCCACAACCATAAAGCATAAGAGAACAGAAAATGATCAAAATGTTGTCAGAAAATTATAGGTTATCTCATAACAATTCAAATTCAGTTTCCATAGTGACTTCAACAACTCCCAGGGGACAGATTCTAGTCATGAGAAAGGTTAAGTTTCAATGAGTTATACTCTGAGCAAATAAATAGTAAATCTTTCATCATCCTAATTCCTGATGCTGAATTACATCCAGCACATACAACATTATACCTGGTAAGATGAAATATAAGAGAATCAATACAATATGTGAGCCAGTTACCTGAAGGAGGCTGCCCATCAGTTCCTGACCCGCCACTATCATCTCTGCAAGTTCTATTGATCTGTTTTCCACACAAATCACGATTTCCAGTGAACCTACAAGATATATATTTCAGTTCATTAGTTTAGAATCTTCTTTGGTGTCTAAAGGAGTAAATTAGTAAGATAGCAGAATTTGCTTTTAGCTAAATGATCAAGGCACATCTAACTTACTAGATCATTCTGAACTGATACAAAATTAAATACGACACATAAGGGAAATTTAGACTTACGAGTTATCTGCAAAGTTGATGAGCACACCATCAGATGGTATTGGTCCGATGAGAAAATTGTTTGACACATTGCTTCAAAATTTAAAACGGTGATCATAGTAAGTATCAGATTCAAATGTACCAATTTCAACTGCTGAATTATTGTAACATCATTCTATAAGAATAAACTAAATTTGAAGCAAATGTGGCTACTCACAAAGTGATGAGTTTATTTAACTTCCCAAGCGATGAAGGGATTGACCCACTGAGAGAGTTACTTGAGATATCTCTGTGCAAGTGGTTGACAAAATACCCAATTAGTTTCATCTGTCCAGCACAATGATTGCATCTAAAACTAGCGTTTTTCATTCATAGCACATCAAAGCAAACAAGTGCCCGCCAATATTCTTTAAAGATCTTGTATTGTATACAACAGCTCAAAATTAAGCTGAGGCTGCAGTGTTTATTTTGTCCCTACTTCCATTTATTACTCCCCCCAAGGTGTCGCAAAGATTCTGTTAATTTCTGAAAAGACATGAACAAAAGTAATTTGTTGAACCATGGATCATCTAACCAGCAGTAGCAAGAGGGCAATTGTTGGACATGTGAACATTTCTACACTAGACACAGCACATTAAGAAGCTACAGCAACCCAATCATATCCCTTAAGAAACTAGCTCAAGCCCAAGTGAATGACATCTGAATTGTTTATGCAAAAGGTTTACAATTTATCACTAAATTTAAATTGGGGAAAAATTAAGACTCGAGTGGTACTGAGCAGGAATATTGACCACAAAGGCCATAGAGTGCTAGTCTATGAATACTGATTCCCAGGAGAGTTAATGTGGCTTAAGGCAATGAAAAGTTCACCCTATCAGTTCATATTTGGTCCTTTTCTATATCAGCACTCCCATGATTCATAGCAATCTGCTCTTTTCATATACCGGAATCAAGAAGTGATTTTAAAAAAAAAAAAAAATCATGACTGATTTCAAATTTATTCTGCTCTTGATAACTTATGAATCATATGGGAAGATATCAAAATATGCTAATAAAATCGCATTTCCAGGGGACACTTTATAGAACCTTTGATGGTATGCATAAATGACAGAAGGAGTTTCAGTGCTCATATAAAATGATTGTGCATATTTGTTTATGTTAAAAACAAAATAACATGTATAACACTGAAATTTATCACAAGAAAATAACTCACAGATTTTGAAGCACAGTTAGGTTTCCCAATTCGCTTGGAATTGGTCCACTTAAGTAGTTGCCCTGCAAGAATCTGAAGAGAGAAAACATTAATAATAAGCTTCCAGTTAGAAACACAAGTGAGGATAGGATACCAGTACAAGTGTCAAAAATATATCCTACGGCAGCAACTCTAACCCTAATATGAATTAAGTTAAATGACAATATGTCATGGATTAAAAAAAAGAACAGGAGGGAGCAAATGCTGTTTAAATCACATAAGCCATAATTTCCACCAATCGTTTGATTTTTTAGTAGGTGAAAATGAAATAGAACTAAAAATATAGGCAACATGCATTAGCATCAATTTACAGGAAAAACAACCAACAACTAAGCTACATAAGCAACTTAGAAAACAAGTAGTTAACAATGCTGAAAGAAACGCTTCACTGCTGAGATGCCCTGAATTGTAAGCTCAAATGAAAGGCGATATGCTGACTAATCTCTCTAACATTTATAATTCCAAACTCGTAAGAGAAGTTAACTTTTTAGGTTGAGAGGTAGATCTTGTACCCTGTGTCAAGGGTTAAAAATAAAATCTCTCTTAGTTGGTTTCAGAAGCTCTCATTTGGATTCCTGGCAAAATGTTTGTTCCCAAGAGGCAATCCTCTAAATTCAGAGCTAGTGTTACTATTCAGGGCCATTGGAAATTCATTTTGCATGTATTTGTAATTTGTCTTCACAGGAAAAGTATAAGGTTGGTGACAGTTAAATACAATTCCCAAACCACTGAGTGAAATCAGAATGCTTTACTTCTTTCAGAATGAGCAATTTTCAATCATCATCGGAAAAGGAAGTCTTAATTCTTACATAGATGAGACTAAGCACGCATGATCAGTGAAAAATTTGACACCAGTCATTTACAAATGAGTATTAGAAGAATAATTGACAAGCGGATGGGTTTCCTAGTTGACCATGTCGATATAGCTTGGATAGGAGAAAGGGACTGATTCTCACAAAATTCAAAAGCAAATACACTACATCAAAGCTTTTACTTTGGGAGAGAGAATACCTTTCAGTAAAATTACTGTATCTATTTTATCCATCACTAGTATATTGCGCCAGAATTCTATGCTAAATGATACAAAGTAAAATATAAATAAGTGGTCGCTACTTATGCACTCTGGTCATAGTTTCAATTTAACCAATAGAAAGGCAACAGAATTATTCACTAGGATAAATACACCACAATGTTGAGTAATGACAAGAAAATTTTTGTTACTAGATATAGCGGCACCTACATTTCCTGCAACTCTGTGCAATTTCCCAACTCTGAAGGAATTGTTCCATAGAAGTTGTTGTTGTATAGAGCTCTGTAACAAATCATTCATATTAAAAAAAACATGAAAGTAGCAGCATGCCTGAAATACAGAAAACACCTGACAATTTTCAATAAAAATAGGAAAGTCCTGGAAACACGTACAGAACTCTCAAGTGCTCTAACTTCCCAAGGTCAGGTGATATAGGTCCACTTAATTTGTGGTTCTTCAGACTCCTGGAAGATAAAAAAACGATCAACAACATGTTGCATGACACCTCACCTCAGATTGCATTGTGATCTAACAAATACAAATTAATTGAAATACATGTGTGTGTGTGTGAGGCCCAAATCAAAATCAAGAGAAGAAATATGTGGGGTACTTTGAATGTCCATGGCTCCATGCTTATTTACAGGGAACAAACAGTTCATGGGAGGAAAAGAGAAAATATGAGTTAGAAATTTGAAAATAATTTGTGAACTCACAAATATATTACTCTCTTGGTTTTCTGATCACATGTCACGCCTCTCCAATTACATGGGTCAGCATCCTCTGGCCTCCACAAAGGAAGAATACCATCTGAGCTGACAATTGCACTCCTGAAGCTCAATAGTGCTTCACCTACAAATACACCAAAAAGAATTTCAAAATTCCAATGTATCATAACTGGACTTAAGCATGCATCTCCTATAGTCACTAACAAACAAAATAAAGGCAAAACGATTCTTGAGTATAAGCAGTTTGTGTGCACAAGCATTCATGTTGGAAAGAAACACCTGCTTCATACCACCAACAGAAGAACTTGGTGGCTCATCTGGTAGGGGCTTACAATCATCAGTTAGATTCTTAATCAGGCTAAATTTCTCATTTCAAAAAAGAAGTTTTGAGATGAAAGCAAAGGCATGCCAAGTTTATGTTCAGATTAATGAAATTCCCATGTGAGTTAGACAAATCATAACTTGCAAAATATACAACATTTCAGCCATATAATAATCAAGTATTTTCCTTGAAGCTGTGCATTGGACCATAGATTTCTTTGTACCAGTTTCACTACTTTGACATAGCTTCTGATAATGTTGAAATAACATATATGCAAGAACTCAGATACTACCATACCATCAGGAGTGATAGCTCCGTTTTTGTTTACAAGAATATATAGGTGTAGAATGTAAAGAAGCCAAGGCCTTTGAAATCTCATTGAACAGATGGCCATGAGAGAACTGGTCAAGCATAATATAGCAGCTATAATTCATCTGATAGAACACGCTCCGGAATGCTTTGCCTGTAACATGTGGTTATCTGGTTTATTAAGCCATATGGTAGCCACAGATACAAGAAAAGATTGCCTGTAAAAAAGAGAGAGCAACAATTAAAACTGCGAGAGAAAAAATGCCTTAAAAAAGGAGCAAACTGCATAGAGAATAAAATTTTCCAAATTTCGACCTAAACTCGCTAGTCTCAACCACAGATATCTTTAGCACACATGAATGTGCTAGAAACACGGATACAACATTTCAAAGAGTTAATTTCCAGTTCACTGACAGAGTTTCGACAACTTCAACAGCATATAAGCTAAAATCGACATCCACTTCATCTTCTCTCTCTTTGCTAGCAGCACTGGTATTTTAACAACACAATTATAAGGAAATAAACCTTTTTTGACTTTCTGGGCTATAAAAAGATCAGCAAAATTTAGAACTTCATCATATTCAAGCAACAAGCAAAAACATTCCCAAGAAGATGCCAAAAAAAATCACCACATTCTTATGGACAACAGCACACACCAAGAAACGACGGTTGAAGCAATGAATCCATAAAAAAACAAAAGTAAAACTGAAAATTGCAAACTTTACCAGACATAAAACTTTAAGCTGAACAAGCCAATCTATGACAAAAGTAGAGTGTCGTCCATCCAGCCGAAACAACCTGAAAGCAATTGCGTTTGAACGAGAGAAGGATCTTAAGAACAACACACTGTTATGCACCAATCTTATTTATAGACTTTGGCCAAAAAGGTAATATAATTTACCGTTTTACACAACTGCAAAATACTACAAATGAAAACTTTGCTAAGAGCCCTAAGTTGAAATGAAAAACAAAAAAAACACACAAGAACCCACTAAATTTTTAGCGAAGCTTAACGGAATTGAAGTGGCAAAAACGCAAAAACACACACCCCTTAGATTTGATCTGGTGAATAAGAAGAAGAATGTAGAGAATGAGCTGTAAAGTGAGACTATAAGCAAACAAAACAAAACAAAGATATATAAAACCCAAAAACTAAATAATAAAAAAAAAAAATCTCTCTTTCTCTCTCCAGGGAGATTAGTGTGATTGTCTTGTAGAGAGATTTTTTTTTTTCTTTTTTGTTGTTTGGTAGAGAGAGAAAGAAGAGAGGAGTGCGTGCGTGTTTAGTATTTGTGAAGAGGAGCTTCGAGTTAAAAGAAGCATTTATCTCAGCCAATCAGAGTGAAGTCCATTTCCACGTGTGATGTGGACCTTCCATACGTGCCAACCGACGCTCGTTAGCATTTCCATCTTCTTCTTTTTTTGTTAAAACTTTAATGTTTTTTTAGAACTAAAATAAAGAAATATCCATGGCCACTCACTTGTTTTACTAAGTCGTAAGTTGTTTGTTAGTGTAGTTATTTTTATTTTTAAAAGTATTTTTTTATTTATAAATATATTAAAATAATATTTTTTTATTTTGAAAAAATTATTTTTAATATTAACATATTAAAAAATAAAAAAAAATAATTTTAAACAATAAAAAAATAATTTGAAAAAAAAAAAAACACAAATTTGAACACATTTTCAAACACAAGGACGGGACAACTTTATACATGAATGATTAGGAGGGGATAACTTTTATTTTTTAATGTATTTTAAAAATATATTAAAATAATATATATATATATATATAGTGTTTTTATGATTTTAATGTGATGTTAAAAATAAAATTAAAAATAAAATATTTTAATATATTTTTAAATAAAAAATAATTTTAAAAAATACTTTATACCACCAAATCAAACAATTTACATGGCATTGCAAAGCAAAACAACGGAAGATAGAGATATTGATGGGTATCCACGGATCGGGTTTTGGAGAATTCATATCCAAACCCGCACCTGAGATTTTTACCTGATCTAATCAGGTATAAAACAAACCCGACCCGGGTCAAGTTTACGGTATCCATAGGTATCCAACGGGTATCCTCCTCTGTTACTTGAAAACCTTTTAAACCACCAAAAAAACTCATGTTTCCTCCTAATCTCAACACGATTACCACCGCTCCTTTTGAGCAAGAAATTAAGTTCATCTCCTTTGTAATCTTTACTAGAACTTTTGGGCTTGGAAATATTATTCGAAACTTGATCTTTTTTAGCTTTTCATTTTCTATTAAAGAATGAAATGCAACCAACAGTCTACCTTGACAGTACATAAATTACGACTGGAAGAGATCTATGAACAAGAGCAAGATGAGAGCATTTGTTCTCCACAATCTAAACAGATTAGATAAACACGTATACCAACTAGAGATGACGATGGGTGTTGGAAGATCTGATGAGGTATTGTGATCTTGATCCAGCAAATCACTGTTGCACATCTCCACGACTTTGCCTCTTTCTTTCATGGCTTCTGATGTGAGGGGGGAAAGGGGAGTGGGAGTATGGGAAGCCTGACACACACAAACACATAATATTTTAAATTGTGTTCCGACTATGTTTGGATCAAATGATGATCATGGAGTAAAGAGCATAAAAAAATGTCTGAAGAGAATTCATTAGGATGCAAAGAAAAACCAATGATGATGCGAAGAAAAATCGATGGAAGTCATAGTGTATTGAATATAATGCAAAAAGAATTGCTACAAGCATTTCTATATATAAAAAAGAATAATAATAAAAAAAAGTACTTGAAAAGTGACACTTATGCATATCTAATATGATAAATGAAAAGG